AACCCAAGTGGATAACACACCTCCCTAAGTATGCATGGAAATAGTGGTGAGCATGAGGTGAGATGGTGTTGTCTGGCCTGAAAAACAATCAGCCTACTTCTGGACTGTATTATGAGTCAAGCTCCTGGAAGAACTGTGGGAGTTACACTTCATGAAAAGGTGAACAGGTGTAGTGGATTGAATTACATCCCCCCAAAACTCACTGAAGCTTGAATTGTGTCCCACAAGTTTTATGTATTAGGAATTTGGTTACCACTGTGACTATTAAGAGGGTGGGAAATCCTATTATAGTAATTGAAAGGCAGAGCCTTATGAGGTGATGAGATTGTAGGACCATGCCGTGGTGAATGGATTAAATATGGTGGTGAAGGGCATGGTTCTGAGGGCTTTAAAAGAAGAGGAGAGTCTGTCGCTTTCTCTGCTCTCTCTGCTTCCACCATTTTGCAATGTGAGACACCTGGGTCACTGTCATCACCACCAGATGGACTTTGGACTTCCCAGCATCAGAAACTGTAAGCAATAGGGGGGGGGGGGGGCGCTTTCTCTGCTCTCTCTGGTTCCACCATTTTGCAATGTGAGACACCTGGGTCACTGTCATCACCACCAGATGGACTTTGGACTTCCCAGCATCAGAAACTGTAAGCAATAAATTTCATTTTCTTTATAAGTCACCCAGTTTCAAATATTTTGGTATAAGCAACAGAAAAAGACAAACACAACAGGCATCTCAGATTTCCTCTTAAACTGACCACATCCTGACATTAAGGGCTGCTCAAGGAGTTTGCTCATTCCACTGTGAACTTACCTTCTACTTAGGCAGGTTGTCTATAAACCTCACAGCAGAAACCTGCTTACCTTTATATGGGAGGTGAAGGAGGTAAGCAGGTAAGAAAGAGGGCAGGTTGAAGAGAAAACTGACATGATCAGTAATAGTGTAAAAAGTTAACATTTCTCCCCATACTGGCCACTTGCCAAAAATAAAAAAAAGTTAACATTTCCCCCTTATTGACAAAAAGAAATGGATGCTTAATGCAAAAGATTTAGATAGCACAGAAAAGCACAAAGAAAAAAAAATAATTTTATCACCCAGAGATAACCACTTTTAATATATGGCCTATTCCAATCTAGTCTTTTTTTCTATAAATATGTATATGTGTGTATTTATTTAAATGGAATAATAGTGTATATGCTCATTTATAGCCTGCTTTCGAAGTTTGCATTATAGTGATTACCTCTCCATGTCAATGAATATTCTTATACTACATGATTTTTATGGTTACATAGAATTCTCTCCCACAGAAAAAGCCAAAAAATTCTTAACTGGTGCCTTATTGTTCTCCATTTAGTAACTGGTGCTTCTTGCAGTGGCTACCTGTCATTATAGAAAACTGTATGGATATGCCTCCACAACAAGTTTCACCATATATGGTTTTACAGGATCACTGTACATTATTGGAAGAAGTCTGAGGTCAAGAGTTATCCCATCATTTGAAATAATTAAGATATCTTTTTTTCTCTGCAGATATCCCCAAGTCCCCTTTTTGGCATTAGTTATAGCAACTAATATTCACATCACATTTTAATGTAACCTCTGTCAGTTCTTGGAATAACATTTGTACAGCAATGAATTTTACCTAAAAGACACAGAGCAGATTGCAAAACAAACAGTGTCATTGATGTGAGTCATTCATTTGGTAGGTTCTGAGCACCTAAAATAAAACCATTCTAGGCAGGCAATATTCCATAAACACTGAGCTTCCATAATGCGCAAGGATACTAAGAAATATAACTTCTTTCAAAAGATATGGAACCAAGAATAATTAAATAACAGTACAAAAGATGTCATAAGGCAGTCTCCAGGGGTGGGTACAGGCAATAGGGGCTGTAATTTTTAAAGATGGGTCCCTGAGGGTTGGAGCCATCAGAAAAGGCTTCATGGAAAAAACACTAAGTCTTGAAAGGATTGAGAAGATAGAAATGAGGGGGCATGGCTTTCAGCTAAGGCTAGGAGACAAGTTCATTTCTCCTTAGGAGACAGTAAATTGAACTCACCAGAAGTAGGAATGGGAAGTAACGTATGGAAGACAGATGAATGCTAGAGAGGAAGGGCCGTTGAACGCCAGGCCACTGGAGCACAGATAAATATCTGAATAGTACAGGAAGGTAAAGAGTGGTTGTAAGTCCCCCTCTAAGTTTCTGTTCCTCTCCATAGATCCCGACTGTCCTTAGTTTCTTGTATATTCTTCTGGAGACATCCTTTTTTTTTTTTTTTTTTTTTTTTTTTTCCGGTCCCCGCAAGG